CGCACAGTCCTAATACATCAGAGAACTTTCTGTCCATTGTGGTGCTGTAATGGTGTGGAACAGAGTGATGAGTAGACTGTTAGCTCTGCTGGTGGATCAGCTCTCCATGCTTCATTACCAGTGTGTGTGTGTGTGTGTGTGTGTGGCACATTGTTGTTTTTGGTTCATTCGCTTGCTTTCAGCTCTGGCAGTGGAGAGTAAAATTGTCTCGGTCACCGGATTAGGGCCACGTAAGGTAACCGCTTATGGATGCTTCCTTTTTTCCAAACTAATATCTGAATCTGACTTCATGTAAGAAAAGACATTTGTATGTATTTGTGCTCAGAGTCCTTGAGGAGTTCAGAGCTTTTGTGCGGAGCGTAATTGGCGACTGGATGGATGAAGATTGGTTAGTCATGGCTTTTAGGATGATAGATAGTTGGAACCTTTGTTCATATCTGCTTGGTCCAAATTGGATTTATCATCCATAAATGAGCAATTTGAACTGATAATCATTTATAACAGTGACTTTTGTTTGTGGAGGGGATTGCATGTGGGTCATCTTTTATGTGATTCTCTTCTTGGTGGTTTTGTCTCTGACCAAAAGTCACTGTGTCTCTAAAGGAAAGTGTACTTTTGATATAGCTTCAATGTCCTGCATACATCTGTGTCCTCTGCTATCTCTCCTCTCCCTGCTCTCCTGTCCTCTCTCTCCCTGGCATCCAGCCGCCAATGATGACGCAGGGAGAGCAGAGGAGAGAAGCAGGAAAGGGGGGGGGGGGGGGTTATCTGACATAGGCTTAACGCACTAATACAATAATAGAGCAGAACATATTTTTGTAGACAAATAGAAAAGAAGGTTTTAAAGAAAGTCCCTGTTTCATTGGAAAGATTGCTATATCTTACATTGAGATAGGATATCATAAAGGGAAAATAGTTGCGCAAACCAACTGCAGATGTTTTTTACTTAGCTACTTGTATAGCCCCGGAAATGATGAATGAGACTCAAACTGCCTAGCCTTTGTGTTGTTACAGAAGCGCTAAAGCAAGAGCAATCTTTCCTCTGCTGCTGCTAAAGACATTGCAGCTGTTCTTAGTTCACCTTGCACTAATGAAGTCTCCTCTGTAGACCTCAAAGATCATGCTGCAAGGGATTTCTGTCTCCCCATGTTTGAGCATTGTGGAGAGAACAGTATAAGGACTTATCAGAGCCAGACACAAAGTCCTCACTTGATGCCTGACCCTCTGACCTAATAGGAAAGCGTGCGGGTGGGGCTGGAGGTCAGCAGCGAGTGAGGAAGACACTGCATGGTACAAAACAGCATCTGGCAAATACTGGGAATGTATTGGACGATGTTATATCCCTAAAGGAATGTTTTCAGCCATTTGCTGTTGCAAAACACGCCATTTGGTCAGAACAGAAGTCCATATTGAGGGGAGTGACGTTTTTCCTTCTGTGACATGAATCACTTAAGATGTGTGAGCGAGAGAGAGACAATCTGTCAACAGGCGTCAGAACTGTGTGTGTGTGTGTGTGTGTGTGTGTGTGTGTGTGTGTGGTGTGTAGTGTGTGTGTGTGTGTGTGTGTGTGTGTGTGGTGTGTGTGTGTGTGTGTAGTGTGTGTGTGTGTGTGGTGTGTGTGTGGTGTGTGTGTGTGTGTGTTGTGTGTGTGTGTGTGTGTGTGTGTGTGTGTGTGTGTGTGTGTGGTGTGTGTGTGTGTGTGTGTGTGTGTGTGTGTGTGTGTGTGTGTGTGTGTGTGTGAGAATGTAGGTGTGTGAGAATGTAGGTGTGTGTGAATGTAGGTGTGCGTGAATGTAGGTGTGCGTGGCGTGCAGGTGTGCGTGCCACCGTCGCTTCCTGCTGTTCAGGATGCTCATAGAACCCAGTTGTCATAGCGACGGGGGGGAAAGCAAGAGGAGCCCGCTCATTGCGCCACCTGATTGTAAGTGTGCGTGCGCGTGAGAGAGAGAGAGGGAGAGGGAGAGAGAGAGAGAGAAAGGGCTGGAAAGCACAGACAGAGAGTTGCGCAGAAGCGAGGGAGAGAAAACCTTTTAGCTGTGATCAGTGTTTTCATCAGTAGTCTTGTTCTTCAGCGGCTGTGTCGCGGGGATTACAGACAATTTGCCACTCGCGCTCTCTCACTCTCTCGGAACACAAACTTGGATTCTCTGATTCCTTACCCACACACACACACACACCTAAACTCAGTGGTCGCTGAAGATGCTGCTGCTGCTGTGGTGTGACATGTGTGTCAGGTGTGTATGAGATGGGGGTCTAGGTGTGTTGACTCCCATGCACACTTTGACACACTCCCACTTTGACTTGATGCCTGGTGCCTCTGACAGGCTGAGGGACATACAGCACGCCTGGCCAGGGGCCCTCTATGCCATGGTAAATACCTCTGCTAACAAACTTAGCATGTAGTATAGTCTTTATAGTCTCATTAAGGCAGGAGCAAGTAGGATACAACACTATTTGTTTTGTTGGAAGGTAGATATGCATGGTGTGTGTGTGTTGTCAATAATTCTGACTTATAGTTTTTTACTAAATCAAGGAGATAGAGATGCATGTATTGTTTCTGCTTCAAAGGAAGGGAAGTGTTTGTTTTGGCTTTGCCCTTGCTGTCTTTAGATAGTGGTGGTGTGTTACCAGACCTTTCCACCTTGAATACGCTGGAGTGTGTAAGCTTGCCTCTCCGCCTGCAGTCTGCCTGTGCATGAGTTTGTGAGATTGTGTGTGTGTGTGTGTGTTTTGCTCTCTGGCTCTATCTTCCCTCTTCTCTCCTGCTGGCTGTGTCCCCTCAGGCAGTGATTCTGCGTAAGCAAGACGTGTGCGTATGTATGTGTGTGTGTGTGATGTGCATTTTCACACTGTTATACACAGACAGTGAAAAAAGCATCACAGTAACCTTAGGGTGTAATTAGCAGGAGAGACTCAAAGTCAAACAGAGAACAGAGGGAAATGGAGAGAGAGAGACTGTCTGTGACAAAATGATAATTAGACGAAAGGAAAACGACAAGAAATAAGTAAGAAATAGTACAATTATAAGTCGTTTTATCTGACTGCTGTTTTTTTTTTTTTATCATCATAGCATTGCTGTATGTGTGCTCACATTATGCTGCTGAGATGATTGAAATAGATAGAGAGAACTTGAGGAGAAGTGCTGATTTGTTAGGTCTGGATATGACAGTTTTGTTTGTCTCAGTTTTGAGGTAATATGACATCTTCTCTCCACCTCCCGCTCTGGCTCTCTGTGTTTCTGTTCTTCTAGAGATCTCTCTGTCACAGGTTATCTCTCTCTTCTTCTGTCTCTGTCTCCCTCCCTGTCAGTGTATGAGCAGCAACAATTTCTCCTCCCTGCTCAAGGCACTCAGAAATCACTCTGCTCCAAAATACTCCAAGTCTTATTTTTCCTTCTCCCCTCTACCCTTTTTGCAGATAAAAAGTGTCCTTACTATGTTTCATAGAAAATGGTTGTACTTGAATTATAAAATGCACTCTAATACAAACTGGTAGCAAAAAGACAGACTCGATATGTTTCTTCTTTGCATCTTTTGTCTGCATTTGCTCTTGAGGGTGTGAACAATCAATGACCTCAATTAATTGCTGCCCTTGTTAATGATCTATAATGGATTACATATTAAAGTTGATAGAATATACAAATAGCTTTTTGCTATTAACATTGGGTATTGTCTTAGCACAAGATAAATAAATGAATATAATTGAAGTTAAGTGTTTTTTTTTCATAGATTTTAAATGTCATTGTCAAATGCACTTAACTATGGATGCAACTGGTGATGTTGTGTTAACGAGCAATCAGCTGATTATTTTAGTGTAAAGTAAAGTAAGGAAAAATCACAATTTGTGTAGGTTGATATCTTGAAAATCATTTGTTTCTTGTCCAACAGTCTGAAAATCAGAGACAATTAACCATTCACCATGATGAAATGTACTTGTTATAAGCCCAGCTTTCTCATAGAACAGGAGAGACCACCTGAGCCCCCAACAAGACAAATCCCCCAGCAGCCTGCTTTCCTCCATCTCTCCATCTCTCCATCACTCCTCTCTCTGGTTCTGTTGATGTCAGGGCTGTGTTTCTGTACAGCAGTGTGAGAGTGCCACCTCTGTCTGGAGCTCTGTCCCTGAGACACCTTTGTTTGTCTTTGACTACACAGCAGCAATGCAGTGAACCAGCTCACAGATGAAATGGTTACTGTACCAAATGAGTGGTTTGTGAATAATGCTGCTGCCAACTCAATCCCCACTGTGCTATTAGCCACACTAATGCACTCAAATAAAAGAATAAACACACAAATGCACTCTAGTCGTGGATGTTGTCTACATTTGCTATCCTGTTGCACTGGTCCCACAGCGCTCTTCCACATTAACAAGCTTACAGTGGGTTTATTGTATACTTATGCTAATGTGTTAATCAAGTGTGGAATCAATAATTCATTACGTGCAGATTGCTCAGCAGTAAGAACAGCAGCCAGACGGAGGCACCCTGTCCTCGCTTTGATGTCTTCCTTCCTTGTTGTTTATTATGTGAGAGGAAGAGAGTACCTGGCTGAGCCTGTAGACATTAATATTTGATGCCTTTCATTTCATACCATAGCAGCCAGATGTCCAGGCAGCATGCACTCAGGACTAGGACATGTCCGCTGTACTTTCTCTGAGTTATACAGACCTGTAGTGTTGTCTGACCTGGTTAGGAATCCACATGATGCTTAATGATAAAAAGGGTGTTAAGAGAGGATTGTCATCCCAACTTCATGTGATTATTCGTGATGTAAAAAAAAATCAGAAGCTCTCAGATGATCTTATTTTTCTTGCCTGAAGCTACAAAAGCATTCACATCTATTTTCCTTCACATGCACTTTGAACGCTTTTTAAAGACTTTGTCAAAAGACTCACTGTTTTGACCATTTGCTAATTTATTTTAGTTTTACTGCTGAAATATGTTATACTCTCCCTCACTACATGCTTGTCCCTCTAACAGTCACGTCTTCTTGTTTCTACAGGAAGAATGCAAGCAGATCATGGCACGCCAGAAATCTAACAGCCAGTCGGACTCACACGATGATGAGGTTTCTCCCCCACCGCCCAATCCTGTCGTGAAGGCCCGGCGCCGCAGGGGAGGGGTCAGCGCCGAGGTCTACACTGAAGAGGATGCTGTCAGCTACGTACGCAAGGTCAGTGTGGGAAGATGGATGCATACACAAACATCCACACTTGTTGATTAAAACTCAGCACACACAGATACATGCATTCAATGCTTTTCATATACAAGAACTCAAGCAACAAACAAACTATAACATCTGAAATAACATGTACATAAGTGAAAGGGGGCTTATTCATTCAAAATACGGTCTTATATCAATAAAAACATCAAGCAGTCATCAAGGTTGATTGTTGTTTATTTGCTCGACGCGGAACTGTCGCTCTGTTGACACCCACTCAAGAGCAGGAATGTAAACAGATTCATTGAAACATCGTGACAGTGGGAAAGGAGATAAGCTGTGGAAATGTATGATTGATGCAATTAGTGAACCGACTTGGACACGTGATTTTATATGGAGAAAAACACTCTGTGAGTCATCTGCTGAACTGATGATGAGTGTTGACTGTCTGATATTAGATGGACAGCCGGAGACTCCCACTCAGGTTTTGCAGATAACTGACTTCTTGAAATTGTAATATGTAATGAAAAGAGTGTTTTCAATCATGCCAGTTTAATTTATTTTGCTCTAGCCAAAATGAAAACCAATACATGAGATCGAAACCTTCATTTGAAGTTACCCTCAGTACTTTCAAATGCACAAAAGGAAGCAAGATCATTCATCTTTAGAAACTGACTTTTTTAGACTTCCTAGAGGCTACTTTTGTCATTTTAAGTCTCTGAATACAATTATTTTTACAATGGGGATACATCACTACATGTAATCGGTTATCCTCCTGAAGTACTTTTACAGTCTTTATTCTACAGTATGTCAGGCACATGTATACATTAAAAAGGTTCAGATTTATTCGAAACATATTTACAAGTATACATGGCCTAAAAATCTTCTTTCTCCTCGAGACCTCTAGTTAGAAAATAATAGTTTCTCTTGATCATAAAATCTGGGTTGCTCATGCTGTTCAAGAAATCAGGTTATTCCAGAAAGCTGTGCATATAAATAAACAGCTTGACACAAAATCTGAGAATAAATTAAAATGTTTTTGTTCAGTAATGCATGTATAACTCTAGTTTAAAAGACAGTATAGTTGAGAGGTGAAAAGGTGAAGATAAGCTAAAGTAATTTCTCTGTAAAGCGACTTCACGTTTTTTCATTCTGGACAGCAAGGCGGCTGGTAAAGAGATCGGTCATCTTGCAACATGTCATGTGTCCATTCCACAAGTTATTGGAAATGGTACTCTTTTGCCAGAAACTATAACTCAACGTTACACAGTCCAGCACACACATACAGCACACCCACAAGCTCATATAGTGTGCATACATCCGAACAGTGTAGTCATTGGATCATTGCCATGCTTGTTCATTTGTAATTAACTTGACGTGCCATTAATTGCTGGGTCATGACAAAACCGCATGAACTCCCTTCACCACGCTGTAATAGCATGGCCACTGGAGCATGCAGTGTGTGTGTGTGTCAGGTGTGTGCACACACCCACATGCATAAGTGTTTATGGCTCTGAGTTTTCTAACAGCAGCCACATTTATGTTTCGTGGCAAAAAGCCTTACCCCATCTCCAGCCTCATTCTCTTCACTGTCCATCACTATCTGACTGACACACACACAGGCACACACACTCACGCATAAACCTGCACATGAAACGACTCACACAGCCACATCAGCTGCATGTGAAAAATAAATAAGTGTATGTGATTACTCATCACAAAGTACATTACAATGTAATTAGAAGCTGAAAGCACAATATTGCTTCAGTATGAGAGAGCCATACACACACACACACACACACGCACGCACGCACACACACACACACACACACACACACACACACACACACACACACACACACACACACACACACACACACACACACACACACACACACACACACACACACACACACACACACACACACACACTTTCTGTGCCAACAACATCAGACATCATCAATTCCATTAAGACTGGCCAGTGAAAATCAGCAGCTGTTAAACAGAACACCAACAATTAGTTAACCCCGCTCATCGGATTAAAAAGAGCTTTTCTGTGAAGCGCCATGAGTCTTAATAAATTGTAAATCCTGTCGACCCGGAGATCACATTAGCAGAATGAGGGCTGGCATCAGATTGATGGGAACACGCGTGGACACTCTCTTGACAAGGTGTGAACAAAATGGGCTGTCAGATAGTTCTTCCAATTTGGGTTTTTGGCATTTCCCATGAAGAACTTTGGCTCTTCCAAGCATTTATCCGACTAACATCAAACCATTTCAAGGAAAATATGGATCTCTCAGAGGGAGGCAATAACTTATCTCAACGTCACACAGCCACATAATGTGTTGGCTGCTTGTAAGCGTAGCTGGTAAATCATCAGAGATTCACCCTTTCCGCCCACTCCCAATTGGCTGGAACATAATATCGAGACATCACACTGACAAGTAACTGTGAAGAACAGTGAAAAGCTGAGAAACAATCTGAGTGCCCTGACATATAATGACTGATCTCTGGGTGACAGTAATGGAACTCTTATGAACGATGATTTAGTGGATGACCCTTAAATCTGAATCTAAGAATGACTTCTATCACCTACTCCCTTCTGGGTTACAGAGACCAGCCTCGTTCTCTTCCTGTCCACTGAGTGGCCAGGCTCCATACTGCAGATAGATACATGTTTTGTACTTCCTATGTGATGTGGTAGTGTGCATGTTGTGCACAGTGCTGCGTGGTCGTCTTCATGTGGAGACATCTGTTGCTTTAACATAATTACAGCCTACCCCCTCTTCTCCCTCACCACTAGAGACAAAACACATGCACATACGTACACACTCATGATCACTCTTTTTATGCTGTAGTAACAAGAGTTTAGTTTAGTCTTTTAACTTTTCCTCCTTCTCTCTTTATTTTACTTCTGCCTCTCTCATCCCATGGCATAAGGATCTTAAGTTAGGTTTATAAATACAGACATCTGTGGCTTTGTTGTGGCTTCAGACTTTGCCATTCCCTTTACACACACACACACACACACACACACACACACACACACACACACACACACACACACACACACACACACACACACACACACACACACACACACACACACACACACACACACACACATGGGACTAGGACATGAAAATGCATGTTTTATGAATGAGTTCAAGCCTCTTGTGCATTTTTAAGAGCTCTGTGACATTTTGAGTGTAATCCCTGAACAGATGGGCTTTCCCAAAAATACACAGACACATGTGTGGGATATTCCTTTTAGAGTTTGCCAATAAACTGCTCTTTAATTACTCAATTTAGTCTGCTTTTGAAGTCGGACTATTATGTTTTAGTGCTGTTTTCTTTTCATCTGTCCACCTGCATAGTGTCGATGCAGTCTCCCTTAATGTAATGGATACTATCGCGCTGTCCACACAGGTGATCCCAAAGGACTACAAGACCATGACCGCCTTAGCCAAGGCCATCTCCAAGAATGTGCTGTTTGCTCACCTGGACGACAATGAGAGAAGGTACAACTGACAAATACAAATGTAATAGTTGGTAGATGTTTGCACAACACCCAGTGTAAGGCCAGCAATCAAAATGGGACGTTTGTAAGCAGATAACATCATGTACAGGCCATTGTTCCAGTTGAATGTATTGCCCTCATGGCCACTGTGTGCCAGTGTTGCCTGCTTTGGGAGCATCTCCAGTGAGCAGAGGGATTGAGGTTTGAGCGTGGACAGCTGTAGCAGAAGAGGAGGGGTATGCAGCAAAGGGTGGGGAAGGGAGCAGCTGGATGTGTCTGTGTGTTTGTAATGGGTTGTTTGGTTGGTTGTTATGGTACGCTGTCTATATGTCACTATCAAGTTGTGAATTCAGATGTGGGCGGTGGTGCTGACATACACACTCAGAAATCAACGATTCTCCATACTCGCCTCAGAGAGAAAGGGATGCCAATTTCCCTTTATCCCTCTCTTTTCCCTCCCATCTTGTTCTTTCACATTCTTCATCTCTTCAAACACCCTCGCGCCATCCTTCCATCTGTCCCAGATCTCCAGTGATGGCGATCCAGCCTGGCAGCGGGAATAGGGTTTCATTGGCGGGGAGAATCCATTATGCCCCATGGAGAGGAAAACACCGGAGCTTTCCTGTTGGCTAAATCCTCCACAGACGAAACCCAAAACACACTCTTTTTCAGTCTTTTGTCAGTTGACAATTCACCGTGCTTCCTTGGCATAGGCACGCAGGCCTCTGATTGCATGTCAGAGTTTTCAGAAGCAGGCCCGAGCAGGGTGCAACATGTGATAGAGCCGGACAGTCTGAAAAACCATGTTCTTGGGTGGCTGATGCAGCAGATTAGAGTTACACCACAAAAATATGTGGCAGTAGACCGTAAACCATGAGGTTCTAATATACTTAAGGCCTCTTGGCATGCCAAGCTATGTAAAGGCTTTGTCATCGGCCCATGAAACCATGCATGATGTAAACATTTTTCGACTTGCTGTCATGTTTGCTGTCTCGCTACACACAGCTAGCATCAACCATTAATGCTGTGCAGGAACTCGTTATTGTGTAATTTGTGGGTGAACATGCAGGCCGCAGTGCTGAAGGCTCTAAGCTAGGGAAAAGCTTGTCTGATTTGCTGGATTGTATTGTGACATGGCAGTTAGTTGGCTATGCTGTCATCTAACTCTCTCTCCGTCGCTCTGACAGCCTCCCTCACACTTCCTGTTTTTCCTCACTCGTCACTTTCTGCTGACGATGCTGGACGGCTGGCTGGGCGCTTGGTCACATTGCGGTTGTGGTGCGGTTGTTGCTCCTGTTGCTCCTGAAGACAGAAGTGTATTGATGTATGGCCAATGTGGTACTCAAGAATGACTGAAAAAATGGCACACAGCAAGCAGCAGGCCTCTGCATATTGCTTAAATGCTGTAGAGAACACATGTTCTCATCAGGTTTGGGACAAACATTTGCCTGAGAAGGTGCATCTGTGACTCGAGCTTATCCTACTTGATGTACAATCCTGATAATCTCCTATAGCAGCATATAAATATCTACAAGCTTGAGAGCGATCATTTTTGCACATTGATGCCTTCTGCTTTGGCATTGATGAAGTCACAGCATGAAGTACATCGGCTTCTTTAGATGTGCCAGAACTGTCAAAGACTGACGCACGTTAGCAGATGGAGTCTCACTGCACAGTCTTCTCTCTCTCTCTCTCGTTCGGTTTGCACCCCCTCTCTGTTCCTCACTCCTACCTCGTTCTGCAAACAGCTGGCCATTTGGGTCATCAGGTAGTCTTGCACATGTGGTCTCATTGGGTGAAAAGGTAGTGACAGTTGACCACTGCTCCTGCTAGTATAGGCCTCTGCAAGACAGAAAGGTGATGGGTCAGGGCATGCATCGCTGGATAACAGCAAAACAAATCTTTTATATTTTGTTCAGTAAATTCCCTAAAACATTTACCAAATGGCTATTTCTGTTTGAGTGCTAAAAGGAGAGGCCATAAAACTGCCTGTGTGTCAAGAAAACATTTTGTTTGATTAGTTAGTCAGCAGTTATGTAAGCTGAACACCACACGATGTGTTCCCCCATTAGCACTATATTATGCTATCGCCTCCCTCAGTAATGACTAGGATCCAACACAATGAAGCCCTCTTTGTTTCCCTGCCCTCTCCAATGCTCTCTTTTTCCTTTCATCACTTTTTTCCCTTTGTATCTCTCTGTTTCCATGTTGTCTTATCCTCTCTCAACCTTTCTTAAGTTACTTATCTGCCTCTCTAGGAATTCAGGAAGTCTGTGCTTGTTCTGTGAGCATTGTATTTTTCTTTTTACCGAGATGAATAAGAGACAATGCTGTCTTTTCTTCTTTCAAATGTGCTTTTTTCTTGTCAAATTGTTTGCTTCTGCAGCAGTAGTACACTGTGCTGTGGTTTCTCAGTTCAAGTCTATAGCACAATCCATCTCGTTCTTGGAAACCAATCAAAATATGTCGTTTTCTACATGGATCATGATTAATATATGCATGTCTTGAACACAATGACCACCACAAAGTCAGCTGACAAATGTAATCATCAAAATGTTAATAACTTTGTTGTTAATATTCATATACCAAGCCATTCCTTGACTTGCTCTAAAATGCTACATACTGTAATGCTGAACTGCAAGAGTGTGTGTTAGCTTCCTTGTCCTTACACATGGCTGAAAGTTGGGTCACAATAATGTCAAGGGTTATTTAAGTGTATTGCTCGGACGTGCTTAAATCAACCACTTATGTACCACATCATTGGTTGTCATTAGATTGTATTGCAATAATTCCAGTGTTGAAGCCACTCCTCCAAACACCAAGAGTCACACATGTATATACATGCACTTCATATATTTCAGCTGTGAAGCTTTCCACCACTCTTGCGTTGGGGCTGAGATGCTATACTGTGGCGTATATCTCAAGTATGGGCCATTCTGGAGAAAAACTATATCCAGTAGGGAATCTTAGGTCGGCAGGATGGTATTTACACTAAGACAGCACTCGGGTCCGGCTTTGATCGTATCCCGTTTTGTAAATGTTTTCTTCCCCAGCTTTTATTGCCAGCAATGTACAGATTTCAGCGTTTAGTTTGTTTGTGTTTGAGATCATCTGGATGGAGAATGAAAACAGAATATAGAAAGGCATTAAAAGTAAAGTGATAAGGTGTTTATTTTCCCAAAAAACTAAACACTCAGAATATATTTTTTATGTATTTCTTTACTCTGCTTAAGTAAATCATAATCAGAAATACTTTATTGATCCTTGGAGGAAATGTTACTTTATCGTTGCTCCATTCTAGAATACATATATATTCAAGCAAAGATGCATTTTGAATATATATGGTGTACTAAATTACCTTTTGTATGATTAAAATAGTATTGATATAAAATGATTTTGCTTTTTAAGTAGACATTTCCGAGGTTAACTTTCCTTGGACATTTTCCACCCCTTTGCAACTCTATTGTGCTCCTGCCTCTCTTTCTGCTTTTTAAATCCATACTCTTTGCTCTCTTCATCCCTCTCAACAGTCAGCTTTCTCAGAGGAGATCATGCGAATCCTTGCTGTAAACTATATAAACAATAGTTGGATGGAGATTGAAAGGGTTAAGTCATGGATAGGTTTAGGAGGACAAACATATAGAACACTTGCAACCACACTCTATACACACACGTGCAAAACCAAGCACACAAATACCACCCCTCACTACAAAAGATGACAGGGATTACATTACATTATCATCATGAGAAACACACACACAGGCAGGACATTCTCAAGTATGCATGTCAGACTGTGTTCCCAGTGAGGCTGCTCCAGCTGGGAGCGCTAAGTCTTTGATTAACACACCATTCCATATGTCAAACTTTATGGCCCAAAGGTTTCTGAGCTCCACCAGCCGCGCGCGTGTGTGTGTACTCCATCTTTCCTCAGCTGCCTGGAAGTCAAACCTCTACACTTTCTTGCCTTCCAGATTTCAATGTAACACTTTTTATGTAATCAAAAGGTGAACTGAGGGGTTATAGGTATGAAGAGATAATTACGCAAACTTTTTTGTATATAGACTATTTGAAATATAAATTATTCAGATTCCCTTAAAGAACACACATACACTACCAGGGCATTGCGGTAGTGTTAATGAAATAAAAAGTAAGGAATATTTTAGTTTTGCTGATCAAAAATATCATGGATTCTATGAAATACTGTAACGAATTAATTTATAATCCACCATTAGGGGACAGTCTCTCCGTCTGTTTATCTGTTTGACCTTGGCTGGTCCCTGAACTGATGTCTGCATTACTGGGTGGACCCCTCTATTTGCTTCCCATTAGCTGCTATAATGACCCCATTATGATATGCCCACACGAACAGACATACACGCACACACGATAAGCTGGGAACAGGTGTTTTATTTCACATTGTGCCAAGCCTGCTTTACTAACACTCAAACCAGCATGCAACCACCTGTCTCAACACTGTAACTATACTGGAGTTGTTCTCACATCAACTCAAACTGTTATCGTATCTAACCATCTGGATGTGTGATTATTCTGTTTTGGTTTCAGCCAAGAAACAGCGCTTAGATGATAGTTTTCAGATTAAAGGTTTTGACAAGAAAATGCCAGGCTGATAACAGAGGGTTTTGCGTTTGGATATGGATGTCAAGTTTACAGACGTGTGTGTGTGTGTATACTTATTTGCACCTATGCATGCACAGAGCCTGTTTGTCCAGGTGCACCCTTAGATGAGATTTGCCTGCCTATCTCCCCACCACTTCCACTGGTTAAATGCCCATTGTAAATCAGTCTTTCAATATGGTCAGTATAGCGCTATCGCCTGTTTAAACACAAATTCTTTTAGTTCCTACCGTATTAGTGTTCCTTATCTAACTTTCTATTGAAGTGATACGATAGCAGTAGAGTGTGTACTGTATGAGTTATTGTCGGCCTGTTTTTTCAGCTTTTCTGCACACTCGGAAAAAATGACCTTGATGATCTCCAACT